AATCAACTAGGAAAAACACGTTGACTAGAGTGCTCATTTTCGCAAACAGTCAGTTTTCTAGAGTGCATAAAAGATATACATTAAATTAATTAACAGTCGGACTGTCAGCTAACAGCACAAAAACCTGAACAAAATAAGAATAAAATAAGATTTTCTATAAAATAAAAAAGTGCCAGCTAACTGCACTAAAAGGACGGACTAAAAATCTATGTATATATAATTTTAAATATTTCCAATATTAAAGATGAAGTACTACATATGTACAGTATTTGTTACATATGTCAATTCAATATAGTTTACTTACTTGACTTGCAGCTGCACTAAACCCTGCTTGACATGAACCTTGCCTATGGTAGCCCCAGTTATCTAAAATGTAAAGTATCAAAAAAGTTTTTATTTACTCGATGAGAAATTAAACTTAGTAAGGAATCTTTTTACAGCTAAAAGGTATTTATATATAAGTTTAGTAGTGCATATATGATATATGTATATACATATATATATATACATATATTGGAATTTGATAATTCATTTTTATTTCATTTGTTTTAACAATTGAAGTCCTAACAGAGCATATTCATTTTAAAAACTCTCTCAAATTTTTTATAATATAAGTATTGTGTATTAGTTTAGATATCTATTATACACATTTTTTATATTATTATATATTGTACCAAGAAATCCGTTCGTTAGGTGTGAAATCTTTTTTTTAAATTTTTAAAAAATAAATTTGTTCCTCGGTTTCTTTAAACCTTTAAACCTTTAAACCTTTTACATTTGTATTTTATTTTCTAACAATATAAGGTAGGCGATTATAATAAATGAAGTGATGTACTCCTCAAAAAAGAATGTTTTTTCAATGATTTTTTAAAGATTCTTAAATCATATTTATTGATGTACTGACAACACCAAATAAGGATAATTATTCTCAATGGAATTAAGATAATTGTTCGTAGAATCGATAAAAAAGCAAAAGAATAATAATAATTACAAATTGCCACAAAGACGTCCTTCAATTTGAACATAAGATCCTGCGTCTCATGCCATATAGAACTGCAAGAACAAATATGGATAACAGAAAACATTGCGGCTTGACACATTTGCACATTTGCACATTTGCAAGAAAGCAGAAAATAATTCCGCAGCACATATCTCTTGAGGCGTTCTTCCCTTCCATGTGATACAAAAGGCAAAAACTGCAGTGCTGAAGATAGATCGTGCGCCGGATCAAATTGAACGATAACAATTTGTCGTTGAAGTGTTCGATTTGGTCGGCAACACAAAAACCAAAATATCAACGACATTAGCTACTACAACGACAAGGAGCGGCTAACCAATGAAATGAATTGCGTGGACTGAATAGCATGGACAAATGCATTTTCTTCATGTCGCATGTGTTTGGTGGGTTCTTCGGTCATGATGACGGAACGCTTGTTGGCCAGTTTGTGATTGGTTTTGTTTTAGTCTTTAATTTTTTGTTTGGAGTAGTGCAGAACCGTTTTGATTTCGCTTTGCTCTGCGTTTTCTGCTTTAGTGCTTTTTCTGCTATTTTATAGGTTAGAGTAATTCCCATAATAAAATCGCCCCCGTTTGGAATTACAATTAGTTTCTTATGAAAATTCTTGGTGACTGCAGTAGAGGTAATAATTTGTTGGGCTCGTTGTCGATATTTCGGTATTTTGTGCGTTAAGTTGGTATTTATTGCTTTAAGAAATGTCGGAATGTATTGATATACCTGCGTATGGGCATCTCCTATTGATGTTTCAACTTTTTTTCAGGTTTCTTACAAAATGCAGTTTATTGTAGTGATTTTTAATATTTCGTAAATGCTTTATTATTATGTTTAATTGTGCTGCAGAATGCTTTTAAAGCCGAACCCAGGTTCAATTCCCAAAACTTATTTTTATGTGGCAGCATGCCTAAAATATTTTAATGGATTTTTTTTTTAAAGTATTTATAAATGTTGCTTTTTTACAGATTTTTTTAATTCGAAAATTTATGTTTCACAAGTGCATGACAGATGCGTAATACACAAACTCAAAAGGTTTGAAATACTTTTTAAATAAAAAAAATATACATATTTCCAAATGTGTTTCGGGGACGCCTTCGCTTCTGCTTACGTCTAGGCAAAATATAAACAAAGTGTATATTTTTACTTCTATATTTAGAATCCCACACATTCTATCTATTAAACTTCAAATAGGTGAATTTTAAAATTCTGTAGCTTGTAGTTTTTGAACTAAAAACTTTTTGACCACATAGCCGGATTTATTATTAGGCCTTTGAAGTAATAAAATTACTGGACATCTACTTGACATGTATTTAAGAACAAAGTTTATAAATATAAAACAATATCGATATCATATATTACACTACATGTTTTCAATATTATAAACAAACGTTATCGTAATGAACCGCTTATAATCATTATAGGCATGCTTCACAGTACCAATGGCTCAAGTTTCTATTCACAATAGTTGAATGTTATTTGAACAATATGTAAAAGAAAACTAAAACAAATAACTGCGAATATCAATCTTTAATAAAAATTGTGCATAATTTATGCTTAAAAAAATTTCTTATAAAGGAAGGAAGCATTTTATTATCTCTGCAGAAAGTCTTTTATTTTAACTCGAACCAAGACTAAGGATAATTCGCAGTTATCAAGAATTTTGTCAAGAAAATATTATTGTACAACTTCTGAATTTACGGACGATAGTTTACTTTACAACATTTACCTATTAAACAAAAGATACTGGTCTCCTGATTAAAGTTAAACACGAGTACAGAAGACATGGTTTCATTCTGAATAAACGGAATCTATTAGAATCACCTGACTTTCAAAGGCGATAGCAGCAAATGTATGTTCAGTTATAAAACAAGTAATTAACTTAAAGTGTTTAGTCCATGATTTCGTAAAAACTCGTTGTTTATAAGGAATAACAAAGGCTGATAATTGTGAATAGCGCAAAAACACTTGGGTTGTGAGATGAAAGTTTAGGCATACTGCCTAAACAGCATGAATATAATGTAGAAAAATGTATATTTCGACTGAATTGTATATAGCATACTATATATTATTCTTCATACATGCAGCAGTTTCACTAAAATATATAGAATTTTTATTATTTTTTCTGCAAAGCTTATATAAACTTTTTACTTTAAAAAATTCTATTTAAAATGTATTTAAAGAACGATAGACGAAACTTTAATGAAACATTGTAGCATCAAATATACGAACACAATGAAACAATTTTTTATTCACTATACTATTTTACCGTTAGGTTCTAAATCCGCTACTGGCATATCGTAAGATGGAATAAATATGTACATTCATTTTTTAGAAAAGAAAATTGAATTGTTATGTGGATTTTGTGCTGCGTTTAGCACAACCTCTTCAGCAGTGCAAAGCGGTACCCAAATTGAATACCGAGGGTGTCCAATGAAATATTGGTGTTCAATGGTTCATATGAATTATTTTTTCTTCACAGATTTTTTTTTTGTGACATTTGACACTAAGAAAGTATTGAGTTGCCTTTAAAAATCAGACAGTCTTTGATTGAATTTAAAAGGATTCCCTGTTCTTTTTCAAATTGTTAGTTTTATTAATTATAATAAATATAATAGTCATGTCAGGAAGGTAATACGAGTTGCTTAAAGAATATATGAATATAACTAAAAATAAATAAATTTATTATATGTTACATAGTCAATACGAAAAAAAATGTGATTATTTATGTTTATAACTTTAATATACTGTATAAGCATTTAATATATACTTACTTGTGCGGCAAGGTGAAATTTCATTAAATTGAGAAAAGTTTCTGGATGTGAAGCACGTACCAACTGGATCATACCGCATCGATTTTATTGGTGTCATTGTATGGAACACATAACGTGGTGCACAGGCCTAAAAATAAAATAATACCCAAATAAATTTTTATTGAAATATAAAACTTTAATAAAACATTATCGGTAATAAAACGATTGTGAAGTATTTAAGGCTTCATGTAATATATGATCGCGCATAAACAATGGCACCGCCGATGTGGTCAGACGCCAAATATGGAAGCGACATAAATGTATGTCCTCGACAGCATTATTTGTGGGATGCGTGCAATTACTTTTACAAATTTATACAAACTCGGAAACTCTGAATTAAGAAAAAAGGAGAAGATATTTTTCTTTATTTTTTGACGCATCGTTGCTTTAAATGGTCGTGGAAAACACTGAACAATAGCTGAATCCAGTGAAACGATGCACGCTTGAAATATATTTGGATTTTAAATAAAAATATGTGCAAATAAAATATAACTCCCATGCATACATTATACTGAACATGTCTTTGGCCTTATACATTCGCATATACGTACATAAGAGTACGAGTAGTTTAGCCATGGTTGATGCTTGTGAAATTATATGAAGGGTATGCATCTCTGAAATGTTTCCTAATCTTATAAGTACAATTTTGTTAAGAGATAAATGCAGGAGAATTAGTATAATAATTTAAATTTATTCTTACAAAAATCTCCATTTTAACTTCGAACATTGTAAGACTTCCAAAGTACTTACTAGGATTTGGGAGACAAATCAAAGAAATAAAAATACCTTATCCAAAGTGTTAGGCTATATAGAAATTCCTAATATTGGTTGTTAAGATTTCACACAGTCAAAAAAAAAAAATGTCTATTCTCTAAAATTTCGTACCATAAGCGAATGAATGAAAGTTGCTATGCGAATTCCCGGCTTGGAGTCATTGAAGGAACGGTCTTACATTCATTTTAGAGTAGCTTATATCAGCCTATTGATAATGCCTATAATCACACATTTACCAATAAATTTTATAAGAAAATTAACGTTAATATAGCCACTCGACAAAAGTAACAGCCTAGAACACACTAGACTAAGTAAATGACTATGATTTTTGCAGATAGATAAGTTAGAGAGTAAACGTATTAACAAAATATTCAATGAATAATTAACGAATTCTTGATTATTACAGTGTATCTATAACAGATAGAAATTGTTGTTATATACAAGTCTATGTGTTATCTGTGGTTGGGTTAAAAACAAATCATCTATTAAAGTATATAGAAAAATATTGAGATTAGAGAAAACCAACTGTGATAAGAAAACACAAAAGTGGTCGGATTTTCATAATCTAACCTAGTACTAACGTAGCATTGGTCAATGGAATTTGAGAGAATTCAGTGCAAGTTTTGAACTACTTAATTATATTTGTTTCATTATTTAGTCGAATTTCTCAGTTTCCTAGTTTCTTAAGGTATTGGAGTTATTTCAATGCTAATTTAATTTTGTTCACAATTTGCTAATGCTGTATATTTTTTATTTAAATGAAAAAAGTGAGTAAGAACTTCTGAACATTTCTCATTTTTCAGTTGTTTAAAACGCTACTGGCATTTTAAAATTCATCTATGGAATCGAAATTTTGAATACTACAGTGAGCTCACATCATTGACGGACGTAGATTTAATCGCTAAATAATCACGTCAAGTAAATTCGTATTTCCTTTTCTGTGGAGTAGAAATTGCGTAAAATTGACGTTTTCGCATAAAGCTGAAATGGTTGACGTATAAATCAGCGATTATCCTCATGTTGAAAGACGCTGTAGACAACAAGACAACACAACAAATAGCAGCAATTGAAAAAGGAATTAATTTTTCATAAAAAACCATTTCTTTAAAATTAAAAAAAAAAAAACACAGGTCTTTTGCAAAAAAAAGTCATATTGTCCATTTTTGGAATGACTTAAACACAATGTGAATACCTGAGTACGTTTAGCGGTCGCTATTTCGGTTTAACGGTCATTGTTTGCAGCGGTAACAAAACAACAAAAACAACAGCAGAAGCACAATACAAACTGTAAGAAGAGCTGGAGAAGCTGAAGAATAACAAACATTGCATTATGAATAGCTGTAGTAAACTAAACAATCCAACGAGATACACGCTTTGTATCTGTTGAAAGAATTGAGATTTTAGGGCAGTGCCAGAATGCCCAGAATGCCCAGAATGCTCGAACAAGCCAAGCCAAACCGCGTGAATACCAATTTCAATCCACATCTGATGTGGTCGAGGCACAATTGCGAAAATATTTAACCGCAAATAAAACAATAAAATAAAATCAAAGCAAATCAAACACAATAAAATAATCGCATAATCATAACAAAAAATCACAACATTAAACATAATTTAATTTCGATGTTTATTGAATTTTTGATTCACTGACTTGATCAACAGACCATCACAGCACGGGATTATGTGAGCCACAGACTGCAGTGGATTAAACACTTGTAAGTTACTTCATATAATTTAGGTATAAAATTGCTTTCCGTATAACCCTGCTACACAGTTTTAGAGGTACATGTAGCTACCGATCTATTTTGAATTTTATTAACTCTGCAAATGCTATTTTACAATTTTCCATAGCTTCATAGACTTGTTATTTGACCAATGAATTTTCTATAAAATTCTCTTAAAGAATTTCCAGAATTGACAAACAAAACGTTTTACTCTATTTTGTTTATCTGTATTCAAAGGCTTGTACTAATGTCTGTCTCTGCATGTGATTGGAATTTTTAATGGTTGCAGGCTTTTGTGGTCTGTATCTCTGAGTTGTATTGTTGCAACGATTTGTTGCTAGCAAATGTGGACAGAAGTCAAAGAGTCAACACGTTTGAAGCTTTTTTCTACATTTGAAATGTTAATTTTCCATATTTAGATTAAAATAGATTACTGATCGTGTCATTGATATTGCTCGATGGTGGTCGAAAAAGGTTAAGTGTTACTGAATAACATCTAAACAAAATCTCGAATGAGTTGTTGTCAATTTTGGGTCAAAATGTTGACTTTTATTACTTTTTTTTATTACGTTATTCAAATTTATTTTGCTAAGAAGTACTATTTTAAATATTGCACACATGTCATACATATTAAGGTTTAAACATAAAAATCGTATATGTTTTATTTGATGAAATTAAGATCTTTAAATTAAATTAACTAAAAACAATAACTTTTGTTCTTTGTGTAGAAGTCATTCTATAAGTGATTAAAGAATTGCATGGAGTCATAGAGTAGCCAGACTGAAAAAAAATATACCATAATAAATAACTACATTTCTTTGATATTATAAAAGAAAACTAATAATGAATCTTAATTTCATATTAATAATAAATTTATTAATATTAAGTTCTTGATTAATATTGAAAGTACGACTTCTTAGTATTTAAAATGTTTATACAGGAGACTCCCACAAACTTTTTATGACAAATTATTTGTCTGTTAATTAGTGATTTATTCTTATATTATGTTTTGTTCTAATTTTTATGTATTTTAATATTATTAACTGATATTTTGGGTGTTTTTTTCTTTACATTTAGTGCTGTTAGTTGACATTTAGACTTTTATTTATATTAAGTTATATACATCAGCAAGATGGAGTACTCAAAACTCTAAAATAAGTGAAATAACTGGATTTACTTCGTATTTAATATAAAATAAATTCGAATAAACTTAATAAGAACTTGAAAGATTAAGATATGAAAAATTGTTTCATTTTCCTGTATATCCATTAGTTAATATGTTCATTCACTAATGAAGAATTTTTCGAAATAATAAATTTGGATTTTTGATGAAGAAATTTCCTTAGTTAGTAATTAGTTTACATCAAAAACATTTCAATAGCTTAGAGTGCTTTAAATTTAAAATCTTGATGTAAACATTTGTAGCCATTAATTGATTTTTAAAGAACTTAACCCACTTAGCGAGCATTAAATATTGCCAACCATAAAAACGTTTTTATTTCTTTGAAAGTAAGAATAATAGACCATTTCATTGGCTTAAGTATTGCATACAAAGTTTACTATGTTTGACCACATAAACCTAAGCAAAATCGATTCCAACCTGACAATTGACTTTTGAAGGCCACACACCCAACCAAAACCAATAACACAAAATCTGCCAGGAGTGAAATCTGACAACGAGTAACACTGACCCATCAAAAACAAATCAAGAAAATACGAAATGTTCGTAACTTTAAGATTATTACCGATAAAAGTCAGACCCAACAATATTAACACAAAAATCAAAATTAATTGGAAAAGCATTACCAAAGCGAAAATTTGGAACAAGAACAGGCGAAAGCATTTTGCTCGTTCATGGATGCATGCAGAGCGCGGTGGAACAAACCGCCAACACAATTAAAAAACGTTTACCATAGCTTAGACATTGCAGCGCATGGATTTGAAGTAGTCACTCACTACTCCAGCAACAAATAAGAGTACGACATCAGCAGCACATTTCGGTCACACCTTAATCTAGCGAGACGACTGCGATGACGCTGGTGATAACGTCCAAACGTCAATTGCGCTGCTCTGACTTAGTTTGACTTGCGACTCATGTTATCTAACCTGTAGTAAAGTTACTTGCCAATGTGCCCTTACCTTGCCAGTCCGCCTCAGACAATGGAATATGAGCCACACATTGCCTTACCCGCAATGCATACAAATTTCAAGTCTAATGAAATCAAAGCAATAAAAAAAATTAAAAATTGCTTGATTACTTCTCGTTTGCTTAGAGCTTTAAACCTGATGACTCGATATTTATGCTAGTAAAAAGTAAAATACTGCCCACCTTTGGCTTTTGAAATTCCACCCACTGACACTCGCTGTTAGGTGCCCACTTGTTAGTTAGATTTCGACGATTTCAGCTCATATATTATAAACTTTATTTTCTCGTAATATTTATTTGTGGTTTTTTTTTTGTATTTATGAACGGAATGGTTTTGTTAGTTATCATGGGCTTAGAGGTATGTGTGCGTCTCGCGATTAGTTGGAATACTCAATGAATAAAACTGAATGAAATAAAAATGTTGTGCAAACTGCAAAACTAGTTCACACTT